TTTATCCATCTTCTGTACTCCACACAGAGCTTGGGTGATATTTAATGCCAGATAATGGTAAGATCTCCATTTGACTCTGCTGTGGTTTTGCATACTTGGGTGGCAAATGATGACTTTCTTCTTGTCATTTTTACAAGTGCAGTGGAATGTTTCTTTTGGCATGTCCCGTCTTGCTTTCCTTTGAGACATTCAGGAAAGTTGATGCAAAACCCACGGTCTGTGTGCAGGATTAGCAGCCATTTTGCAGGGGGGGTGTAGTGGTTGTTAAGGGCTTATAACACGTGGGATTCACAGGTACAGAGACCTAACCTACACAGCATCCCCCCCATTAAGTGAGATGGTCAGACTCAAACACAGGCCCCCCACATGCCAGGCAAGAATTCTCACAGTGAACCACAATTGCCCAAGCTACCTACTATATGAATTGACAAGATTTATTGTATTCATCTTAAATTTCCTGCCCTGACAAGGAGCTGGTGGCGGAGTTTCAGCATGGTAAAGCTGCACCGCTGTGTTCAGGCACATTGGTGAGAATACCGTTGAGGCCATGTGCTTCACATCGAAACTCAGCTGCGAAATTTGTAGCTTTTGGGGGGGAGGTGGGGGTGGTTGTCTCTTGGCCTGGCACAGGTGTGAAAGGCTTCAGGGCGAGGGGGGGCTTTGTTTGGCCTCTGCTGTCGCTGTGGGCCCCAGCTGAGGGATGCGGCACCAGTGTTTACTCAAGCCTCTTGGGGCAGGAAATTACAGTGTTAAGTGTAACTCGTTTGCAGGTGCTACTTACCGCCCCCGACTCGGAGTAATCACATCTACGGTATGCAATGCAGGTAGCTCTCACAGCTAATAAATTCATGCTGGCCTCTTGGAAGCCCACAATTGGGTTTGATGCAATTCACTTTTCATGAAGGGCAGCTACAGAAAAGATGGGCTGTGGTGTGTCTCAGAGTAAGATGGGCTACAGGGTGATTTGGACCAGGCTATGATGAGTAGAGGGAAGGTAACAGAACTCCAAGAATAGTTATGGTGTGAGGAGGGCATCAGGGACTCCAAGACTGACTGGCAATGCAACCTCCTTAGGAATGCTGACCTTTAGAAGCCACTGGAAATGGCCTTTGTCAGCCTGTGGGGGTATCTCATCTGTGGTCTGAGCTGAGGTCAGTTCCAAATGCCTGGGTGCTGATGTGCACATGCTCCAGGAGCACAACAAGTAGAGCATTGAACTAAAGATGCAAAGGTTGTGGGTTCACATCCCAGGGAGTACAAATAAGCTATAATTATTTCCTCTGTTGTAAGTCGCTTTTTGATAAAAGCATAAAATAAATGAAGTGAAAATGCAGAGATGATGGTCTGTCTGCTGTACTTTGTAAATTAACTCCTTCAAATGGCCCAAAATATAAGGACATAGAACCCTATCACACCAGTAGGTGGCAGGCATGTGTTGTGTTCCTTAATTCTAGCAGGATTCTGGTAGTTGATATTTTACTGTAAATCTGAGATCTGAATGAATATGTCCTCAATGGCTTCAGCTTATATTCCTGTACTCAAAGTCACATGATGGACTCATTAACCTGAACAACTTGCCGTTCCGTGGACACTGGAGTCACCACTATAAGGGATACTGATTGTGCTCATAAGCCGCACCTCAAGTAGTTTTGAGTAGTGTTAAGCTATTGGTCTGTGCTAAACCTAAAGAAGGATCACCTGGTCTGTTGTAAGACATCAGTGGTTCATGTTCCTTTTAGGTATCCTTTGTTTTTCTGCACCCATATTAGGAAAAAAAATGTCAAAGCATACAGGGAGTATTTGTGATGATTTACAGAGGTGTCTTCATGATTTTGTCCTTCAACATTTCCCAGCTTTCCATCCTACAGTGATTCATGTTTAGACACTGTAGTCCAAGGGATCAGCAGCAGTTAGTTGAAGTAGCAGGTAGGAAGTCATACGTGACAGAGGGTCATAGGTGCACACCCCCATTATGGGTTTAGAACCTCCATGCCAAGAACACAGTAATGGTTAGAGTTGGAATCTGTTTCTATACTAATTGGACAAAATGTCAAATCCAAGCAATAAAAGAAGCAACACTATGTAACATTACATAAGAGAAGAAACATAATATCTTTAGGTTTTAGGAGTTAATAAATGCAATTGCCATTCTTAGGCTGAAGGAGCCGTAATGATAAAACATAATGCGTGATTACTTTTGTCTAACATGTTAGCCAAATGCTATGTTTTCAACTAGCAGCTTTGACCGAGTCTTCTCTCAGCTCATTCGGGTGAAGATCTCCAACAGCATTCATAAGTGATAATGAGCAGGCAGGCCTGACACCTATTTAGACCCAAAAATTCATGGGTGAAAAGCTTTTAGTCATAATGATAGTGATTCAAATCAGAATTAAGCATAAAAAAGTGTCACAGGCAATGAATATTCATAAGCACCTGTCTTCATGGGATCTCAGTTTGTGTGAACAATGCAGGGACAGGCTTTCACTGTAAAGTACACCATGGGTTATAATTAGACATGTATTTGCACTTTACTACATACTCTGCACTTGCAGGGACACAGAGGATATACAGCCCTGCACGTTATGTCCATGAGATATCTATCACTTTACCTTGATATTCAAGTAAAGCATGCAAGGTACCCTATTAGAATTTCTGTGTTAGAATATAAATGGGTAAAAGGTACATTTCTTTGCATGAGTTTCAGCATTTTTTATAAATAAGATCAGAACTTATCTTCTTAAGGCATTTTGCAGAGTCAGTTCTTAAGTTTTTTTTAAATTTAATTCCAAATCTATGTAATCTTGTGCCCTGTGATGGGTTGGCACCCCATCCTGGGTTGTTCCCTGCCTTGTACCCGTAGCCTACGGGATAGGCTCCAGACCCCCATTTGCCCTGAATAGGACAAGCGGTTTCAGGAAATGGATGGATGGAATGAATGTTTATACATCCCATTGTGTGATATACCATATCCACGTCATGGATATCCTTGGTATCACCCATTGCTGGTGATGGCCATGGTCACGGGATGCTGATGTCTTTATCCAGGTAAACGGGTAGCTCAGCATTTGCTTCTGGTAAAACCAGAGTCAATGTCCAGAGTAACTGTTTCTGAATTGAGAGGAGTGGAAAGTTCAAGGGCCAGATAAGTGTCAATCAATACTCTTATACTATACCAATTGCCATGCAGTGAGTTTTTTGCACTTCTTAGTTTTCTTAACGACTTGCACTTTTAACAGCTACCAACCCACATACATCAATTTATTATTCAGATTTTTCCTCCCAGTGATTTTTAGTATTTAGTGAATTAGTGTTTTGACACTGTTGTCCTATGATGTTGGCATCACAGTGGTGCAATGTGTGTGAAACTTATGTAATATCATGCCTGTTGGTGGTAACCTTTTCATTTAAATGGTGGCTTTGGCAGATGGTAAGCTTTCTAAACTTTTGAAAATATGAGTTAAAAACCTGTAAGCAGGAATGTCAGGATTTCCAGTATGTTGGAATCATAACTAGTAAACCAAATTCTCGTATTTACAACTGCTTGATGTTTCTGCCCTAAATTTGAGGGTCCATGACTTCCACTGTCCTAAAGTGTGCATTTATAAATTTTGAGCCTGTAAATTAGCAGCAATTCATGCCTTGCGGTTTTCCTCATGTAAATGTGCGAGCTGTGAAATGAGATTAGCGAACAAAATGATGTTTCCTTCATAATCTCTGCCTTCGATGAGTCTTCTTTGCTTTGAAACCAATCACCTAGATGGTGACAGTCCAATAATGTCAGCAGTTGATGGCCTGGCACTTATTCTCGGGGAAAAAAAACACCCTGAATATCTCAACTTATTTGTGACACGTTGTTGGACAGTTTGACTGCTATGCAGCTTGAAGGGAGAAGCTGCGAGCTCACGCTGGGCCTGTAAATGGAGGCTGGGCTCAGCCAGGCCGGGCTGCTGCAGTCACGTGCCAAGCTGCACGCCACGCACTTATGGACAGCCGTCTTTGGCGCAGTGGAGCCGGCGTGCTGATGGAGCACCCCTCTGAGAAGGCCACAATTTAGACGTACAGGAAACGGTCGTTTGTGCATGTACAGTAAACGGTCAATTGCAATGAGTTATGTAAGTTTACAAGATATTTTTGGTCTTCTGTCTCAAGTAGGAACCGACGAATTAGACCTACACTTTGCCTCACATCTAGATGAACAGATTTCACCTTTAATGCCCAGTATGCGATTCGTCTGGTACCGGCTTCCTGTTTTATCAGCTAGGTGTGCCGTGCCACGTGGCCTGTACCGTCTGGGGTCAACTCTTGGCTCACTACCAAACTGTAATGGATAAGTGCTCAAAAGATGGATGGATGGCCTCTAGGGCAACAACAACAAGTGTCCAGTTTTTTCTTTTCTGCTGACTTTTAACACTATGGTTCTTGAAAACTACAAATCAAAAATGTACTTGAAAAGACTGCTGTGGTCCATGATGTCAGTTGAAACTAGGAAGATCTCCTCCCTCTTTGTCTGACAACAAGAATTGCATGTTGCTTTCTTGTGTACCTTGGTTTTTTTGTAGTGCTTCGCTGCATAAGCGACGCTGTTATTGAGTAACAGTGCGAAAGGCTTGATCTGCCCCATGGAAAATGTGCAGATCTCACTGTCTGCAGAGAGACGGCCCTTGACACAGTCACCTGTAATTAAACCCCCACCCCCTTCAGGTAGTCCTGCTTATTACTGTGCTGGGTCCGAGAGGGACCGGTGATGGCGGAAAACGATCAGCATGGAAGCTTTTTGGTCTCGTTTGCCGGCAACATTCGAGCGAGCGTCTTGTCTGCCCCGTATCAGTGCCCGACGCCCTGGCAGTCAGTCTCTAAGGCCCCCATCTGAATTGAGGGAGACACTTGTCATCAATGGTGGCAGCGCTTGTACAATGACAGGAAGCTGCCCATGTTGGGCTTGTTGAAGGCGTGATGTCATCAGAAGAATTCGTTACAGGTTTGGAGGGAGCGACCGTGTCGCTGAAGTGTACAGCATCTCACTGAAGTGGCGCGGAAATAGGCAGAGAGCACGAGGGATGCGACGGTAGAGGAGAAGCTTCTTTAATACAGAGAACATGTAGTGAAAGCTGCTGCACTGAAGGAAGCCAGGGAAGGAGAGAGAGAGAGAGAGAGAGAGAGCGAGAGCGTGAGAGAGAGCGAGGGAGAGAGAGTGATCCGCATCCGCGTGGAATCAACTCCAGATCCACGTTTTGCGTGGCGCTGGCAGAGGGGAACAGGCATTGACTGGCTTCGTCCTCCTGGCTGCTGCAGTGTAGGTTTCAGCGCGGAGCCGAGGACCAGAGCACCCTGTCGCTTTGTCTCTTCAGAGGGCTTGGATAAAAACAAGACACAGAAAAGGGTGGAGGAGGAGCAGCAGGAGTAGAGAGAAGGAAGGAACGCCGATTCTTTTCAAGTCGGTCTCAGATGCAGATTCTCGTTATGATCTAGTGCCTCTCTGTCATCGATCGAAGAAGAAGAAGAAGAATGTCTCCGGCAGATTGGCACTCTGGAAGGTAAGAATGCGGTGATTTAGCAGAGCCCACCTTTGCTCGTTAGCTGATTGCCTGTTCTGTTCTGTGAAGAGGCTCCCCTGTAACGTCGGTGTTCCCTGGCTGTGACACTGTGCCTGAATGCTGGGTGAGACAGGCTGCTTTGGGCACAGTGCAGGTCCGCATGTATGAGAGCGAGGAGGCGAGTGAGTCAGGTGAAGCCCCTCACTCTGAAGTGGGGGTCTTTGGCCGAGGCTGAGACAGTGCCCCCCCCCGCCGCACTGACACAGGTGTCTGCGTCGCTAGAGAGGGCAGGGTACATCTTAGGGACTCGGGGCCATCGTTCAGCTGGGAGGGGGGATTGCAGGATTATGTTGCCGTCCCATGGATTGACCCCCCCCCCCCATTTTGGGGTGGATTTCTGAGCAGCAGGGATTGGAGGAGGGGGACAGAGGGCGACTGGGCAGGAATCCCGAGTGAGGGCTCTCTGATCAGAGGGGGATCAGAGAGCATGTTGGCTGACTAATGGAGGGGCACGCTCAGCGCAGCCGCTCTACGACGCTGTCAAGCTCTACACCGGCCGTTCTATGCCACCATCAAGCTCTATACTGGCTCCTCTATGGCACCGTTATAACCCAGTATGTGAATATGTGAAACACGCAGTTCCCTATGCGTGTGCATCCATGACCTGGGAGATACCCTCTCAGAGCGGCTGCTTACATGTGGAGCTCCATCGCATGGTCTCTCTCCACAGCGACGTGATGAAGATTTATGCCCCCCACCCCTCCCGCCCCAGGGTGGCCTCCCACCGCCACAATGAGGACTGGAGCAGAGAGCCGCGACAGCTTGTTATGGGCTTTGCGTGCTGTGAGGAAAGTGTCACTGCTGTTTGGGATGTGTGCATGCATGGCGTGTTTTACATGTAATTTACGCTGGTTTGTGTCTCCTACTGGGGTGGTGGTGCAATTTTCGGGACTCTGAGTGTTCCAGGCTCTAGGTAATCTCTGAAAAGCACAAGGGTCCCTATTCCACGCGTGCAGCATTCATCAGTGTCCGAAACATGCTAGTGTCACCTGGGTCACCCTTCTTTCACGGCCGTCTCCACCGCTGTCTGCTTTGACTGCTTACCATTAATCTGATTTGAATATGGGGTCATGAACTCGCTTTGGCTCCTCCGTAATAATCACGTTTTTTTTCTCCTTCAGACTGGACTGTGTTGCTACATGGCTGCTTAGAATTAAAAGTGTGGGCCATGGTGAAGCCGGCTCCTCGCTTCCAGTCTGAATGGGTTTCGCAAATTCAGCACTGTAGTCTATCTCAGACATTGGCGTAAGGCCAAACAGGCAGGTACACAACCATTCATACTCAGAGCAGGCATTTCTCCTTAAGGCCCTATGGGGGCGCTGTGTGGCCCAGTGGCTTAGGACTGATCAGAAGGGCTTGGATTCACTTCCCGTGGCTGGTAGAGTTACTTTACTGTTGGGTCCTTGAGTAAGGCCTTTAATCTCAGTTTGCCCTGGTGACTGGCTGACCGTACTCTCTTAACACTATTCCATGCAGTTAAAAACTTTTTACTTACATGCAGTGCCTTTCTTTACTGTATAACAGTGGCTACTTCTGATCACAGTATAAATGATGGTCTTGCGGTTCTTTCATGCCATTCTTCACATTGCTGCGGTTCTTGGTGTGGTTGATCTATGCTGGGCAGCTGGGTTAGTACGCCGGTCCACTGACCACATGACTTAGAGTGGCAGTTATGTGTGCCGTGCCGGACGAGCCTTGTGCTCTGCCAGGGTCACCACACTGCTGCTTGGGTATACACTCACCTAAAGGATTATTAGGAACACCTGTTCAATTTCTCATTAATGCAATTATCTAATCAGCCAATCACATGGCAGTTGCTTCAATGCATTTAGGGGTGTGGTCCTAGTCAAGACAATCTCCTGAACTCCAAACTGAATGTCAGAATGGGAAAGAAAGGTGATTTAAGCAATTTTGAGCGTGGCATGGTTGTTGGTGCCAGACGGGCCGGTCTGAGTATTTCACAATCTGCTCAGTTACTGGGATTTTCACGCACAACCATTTCTAGGGTTTACAAAGAATGGTGTGCAAAGGGAAAAACATCCAGTATGCGGCAGTCCTGTGGGCGAAAATGCCTTGTTGATGCTAGAGGTCAGAGGAGAATGGGCTGACTGATTCAAGCTGATAGAAGAGCAACTTTGACTGAAATAACCACTCGTTACAACCGAGGTATGCAGCAAAGCATTTGTGAAGCCACAACACGCACAACCTTGAGGCGGATGGGCTACAACAGCAGAAGACCCCACCGGGTACCACTCATCTCCACTACAAGAGGCTACAATTTGCACGAGCTCACCAAAATTGGACAGTTGAAGACTGGAAAAATGTTGGTCTGATGAGTCTCGATTTCTGTTGAGACATTCAAATGGTAGAGTCAGAATTTGGCGTAAACAGAATGAGAACATGGATCCATCATGCCTTGTTACCACTGTGCAGGCTGGTGGTGGTGGTGGTGTAATGGTGTGGGGGATGTTTTCTTGGCACACTTTAGGCCCCTTAGTGCCAATTGGGCATCGTTTAAATGCCACGGCCTACCTGAGCATTGTTTCTGACCATGTCCATCCCTTTATGACCACCATGTACCCATCCTCTGATGGCTACTTCCAGCAGGATAATGCACCATGTCACAAAGCTCGAATCATTTCAAATTGGTTTCTTGAACATGACAATGAGTTCACTGTACTAAAATGGCCCCCACAGTCACCAGATCTCAACCCAATAGAGCATCTTTGGGATGTGGTGGAACGGGAGCTTCGTGCCCTGGATGTGCATCCCACAAATCTCCATCAACTGCAAGATGCTATCCTATAAATATGGGCCAACATTTCTAAAGAATGCTTTCAGCACCTTGTTGAATCAATGCCACGTAGAATTAAGGCAGTTCTGAAGGCGAAAGGGGGTCAAACACCGTATTAGTATGGTGTTCCTAATAATCCTTTAGGTGAGTGTATAAGTGTTTCTGAGAGAGCGGATGAGGCGCAGGCAGCCTTGAACTAGAGAAACATTTAAGCATGTGTGTTAGTGATCTGTTGAGATGATAGGTTGCTGGGTAGCACTGCGGCCGGCACACTGGGGAAGTTCAAATTCCACACCTGTCCTGGATTTCTTCTCACAATCTAACCATGTTAAGTGAGTTTGCTTGTCTAAACAGTGTGTGTATGTGCCCTGTAGGGGGCAGTGTATGTATGTGCCCTCTAAGGGACAGAATGTCCTCCCACTCTGTACCTGGTTTGGTCAGAAGATGCATGGATGCAAATGGTCTGTTATTTGCAGTTGGATAACTAAAGGGAAAACTCAAGTGCTTCCTCCATAGTGATTAATGCATGAGACTCCACAAGATCAATCTACAGGTCCGATTTCAAATGAGGGAAATGCTTATTATCAACACCTAAAAGAGATTGTGTAGTGCAGAAATCTATGGCTGTAGGCAACATAAAACTGGAGATTATAGTCAGTCTACCTACTATGGGGGACAACAGCAGCTTGTTTATAATACGTGTGTGTTGCCTCCCCAGCTGCAGTATTGGGTAAAGTTGCGAAACCCCAAAGCTGTGCAGTGTGGTGGCTCAGCTGACAGCGCTATAGATTTCCACCTCCAGGGATGTGGCTTTTTTTCCTTCCTGTGTTTGTGAGGGTTTCCTCCTGCAGTCTGAAGACCTGCATCTCTAAATTGTTCATATTGTGCGAGTGTGAGTGCATGTCCTGTGATGGGCTGCCTGTCTGCCCTTCACTGGATCAGTGCATATTGAAGATTAATAGATATTGTACAGGGTGAAGGTGGATACTGAAGACTGCAATATTATTGGCCCTCAGCAGGCCACGCCCATACAGGAGAGTCACATGTCACTCTCAACATGCAGTGTGCGGCATGTTTGGCAGGCATGCGTGCTTCTCTGTGCTTAATGGGCTGAAAAATTAGCGAATGGGTTGAAGCAGCTTGTGTGTGTGTGTGCGTGAGACTGTGTCAGCGTGTGTGAGAGAGTGTGCGAATGGCTGGTTTCTGTACGTGTATGGAGTCAGGCAGGAAGGTGAGGCCACGATGAGCTTCCTTAGCTGGAAAGAGGGCACGATGGGCGTTTATTATTTTTGACTTCCTGCTGGCTCCGTTCCTCAGGGTTTGTGACCAGCGTTTAAATCCCTCTTTTCCCTGACAGCGTGCATCATGGAATGCCCTGCACTCCTTCCTGTTGCCATGGAGATGTGCAGGAGCTGTTGCATCTCTTGCAGGGTTTTTTTCCCCCACACATTCCACAAAACGGCGGAGCTGCTCGGGACTTCAGCCAAATGACTGTATTACTGTATGTGTTTGCGTGTGTGTGTGGGCCGGTGTGGGTGTAATGGGGGAGAAACATTGTGAGTGTGTGTGTGTGTGTGTGTGTGTGTGTGCGTGTGTGTGTATTAGAATTTGAGTAGGAGGATCATGCTTTGCCTCAGTTAGATGTCAGCTCTCCTTAGTTTTCCCATCCAGCAGAACCAGCTCAATCTCCTCAGCTGCTGCGGAAGGCCCCGGCCTTTCGAAGTTCAAAGTGTAATCTGACTGTAAACCTTGCTGTTTGTGCGCTCAAGTTTCTATATCTTCATCTGCTTTTTCAGATATTGTCGCTACACATCAGAGCTGACAGTGATTCTTTATAGTTTTACCTTTAGATAAATTCCAACATTTTAGGTTCATGTTCATTTTGTTGTTTGATAGTTTAGCTGCGGTGGCTTTGTAAGATGTAAATTCAGCTTTTTGATTACAAATTGATATCTTAATGACTTTGTTACTGTACCTCCTGATTTATTATCCAAAACATATTCTTGGATGTGGGGGGGGGGGGATTTTGCTGTCGGTGCCAAGTATTTCCCCACCTTCAGAGACTGATCGTGATAAATAAGACCTTTTAAAACTATTGGCAGATGTACTCACCCAAAGTACCCATCAGTGTGTATGTATTTCCTCT